AATAATTTTGAAGCAATGAATGTCAAAAGAGCATTTCAATTATTCAGTAATAGGTATGCAGCCGCAATAAGAATGGCGGGCCATGCAAAAGAATTGCAAACTGATACATGGTAAGCGACGGCAAATTTTACAGAACGCATGAATAAAGTTATTGATGCTTTGAATTCATACAGTCCTAATATGAAATTTGGTGGAAAACTATTATTATCTGATAAAAATCCTGACATTAAAAATCTGTTAGAAGAATTTGTCACATGGTGTTCGAAATGGTCAACATCACCGGACCAAATATTAAAAATTCCATGTTTAAGAGGATTTAATTTAACTGTACAAGCTATTTTAGGAACGTACACTGACATAAAAATGGAATATAAAATGTTTGAACTTGCGACAGGATTGTGTAATCAAGATTCTGTTGAACATTTATTTTCAAAATTCAGACAACGCGGTGGATTTACTCCTAATCCTACTTCAAAAATGCTGCGATATACTATAAGACATATATTATGTATAGGATATATCCATACAAGTGACAGAGCCAATGTGCAGTGTCCAGAAGCTGAGTGTCTTATTAATCCGCCCTAATTTAACTAACAAAGTTAGTTAAATCAATAGAAAATTCTATGGGTGCGAGTCATATAGATACACAAAATGAAATTGATCCCGAGGATACATTATTTGATGATGATATTGAAAGTCTCGAAGAGTATGATAACATCGAAGCTACAGGGAATAAAAATTCATTGAGTACTTACGATGAGAATGCTATTGCATATTTTGCTGGGTATGTAGCACGAAAAAGCTTAGAAAAAGCTAATTGCGATCATTGTCGTAATATTATGATGAAGACGCCAATGGATGAAGCAACAGCTAATGAAAAATATATAGAGCTGCGAGAGTATCGAAATCCTGATGAAGATGCTCCTACAGTTACGAAATTAATACGACCGACAACTCTTTTTGCAAAGATGGTCGAAATTCAATTACATACATTTAATTGTAATTGGGAACGATATTGGGCATCAACAGGAATTTTACAAAACATTAAAAAGGAATGTATAAGAGAAACGAATAAAATTAATT